GGCCCCAGCCCTGCACAGCCCCACGCGCACACCTGCCGTGCACGCGCGCTCACACACATGCGTGCACACACACCGGTGCAATGCACGCGCAGCGCACGTACACTCACCGCCACTCACAGCCACACACATGCACACTCACATGCGTGCACACACCGGTGCAATGCACGCGCAGCGCGCGTACACTCATGCAGCCACTCACAGCCACACACATGCACACTCACATGCGTGCACACACACCGGTGCAATGCACGCGCAGCGCGCGTACACTCATGCAGCCACTCACAGCCACACACATGCACACTCACATGCGTGCGCACACACCGGTGCAATGCACGCGCAGCGCACGTACACTCATGCAGCACACACACGTGCTCACCACCACTCACATTAATACACATGCACACCGGTTGTGCACGCGCCTTCACACATATGCGTGCACACATGCACAGACACTGGTGCAATGCACGCACAGTGCACATACACTCATGCAGCGCACACACGTGCTCACCACACTCACATTCACACACCCGCACACACATTCATACACACACACAACCCTCACCTTCACACACATGCGTGCACACATCCACGCACAGACACTGGTACAATGCACGCGCAGCTGTCCACATTCGTGCACACAGTCATGCAGTGCACACACGAGCTCACCACCACTCATTCACACACACATTCACACACATGCACACTCTGGCTGTGCACACGCCTTCACACACATGCGTGCACATGTCCATGCACAGATGTTGGTGCAGTGCACACACAACTGTCCACATTCGTAGGCACGTACACTCATGCAGTGCACACACATGCTCACAACCACTCACATGCACACACACAACCTTTCACATTCATGCTTACACATGCACACACTTCATGCATGTCGTACACAATTACACAGTTAAACATACACACATAGACACCACACACATGCTGAATACCCTAGACACACCTTTGGGAATTTCTTTGTTGTTGTTGGTGGTGGGTGGTCTTGGGGCTTGAACTCAGGGCCTGGGCGCTGTCCCTCAGCTCTTTAGTTCAACGCTGGCGTTCTACCACTTGAGCCACAGCGCCACTTCCAGCTTTTTCTGCTTGTGGGGTGCTGAGGAATCCAGGCCAGGGCCTCATGCATGCAAGGCAAGCTCTGTACCACTGAGCCATCTGCCCAATCCTGGGTATTTCTTGTGTTGCTGGCTACTGTTTGATCCGACTTAATCTCTTTCTGTCATCCCCTGTGAAGACTCGGGGTCTATGTTAAGGGGGCAGAATGATGCAGGCTCCAGCCTCAGGATTATCTGAGGACTGAGTTTGGAATTAGGAAAGCTCTTGGCATGCCAGGCTAGAGAGGGAAAATGTTCTCTCTCCCTATCTCAAAACACATGTCACAGACTCCTGGGAGCTGAGGAAGTAGCTCTTCTGCTTGCTTACGCATAGATGAACACCTGGTCAAGCATTTTCCTGAGATTGTAGAAGTGGTTTGAGCTTGCTCTAAAATAGTTTAGATAATAATTTACCTAGACATTGTCTCATGGGTTAAGTAAAAATGTATCTGTGGAAATTTTTTGTGTGAATGTCTTCTGACCAAATCTTGGCGAAGATCATGCTTGCTTGTCTTTAAATACCCACTAACAATAAAGCACAGCATGCAGTGGCAATTGCTGTTTGCATGCTGCATCCCCTGTGTCCTGGTGATTTTGTGACCTTTACCCAGGGACCCCAGCGCACTAGATGTTGACAGTCCCCCCCCTTTTTTTTCCCAGTCATGGAGCTTGAACTTGGGGCCTTGGTGCCATCCCTGAGCTCTTTTGCTCAAGGCTAGCACTCTACCACGCAGTTTTCTGGTGGTTCATTGGAGATCAGAGTCTCATGAACTTTCCTGCCTGGGCTGGCTTCAAACCTCGATCCTCAGATCGCAGCCTCCTGAGGAGCTAGGGTGACAGGCAGGAGCCTCCAGCATCTGATCCGTGTTCAGTTTTTTTGTTTTTGTCAGGGCAAAGGTTAGAGTCATGCTTCCCAGTGTTTATCTGGGACCGTTTGCTTTAGTGATCTTTTCTTTCCTGAGTGTCCCCGGCCCCCTGAGCTGATTATCTAACCCAGGGGAAGGGCTGTACTGTAGAACTACCTCTCCAGCCCTGGAATTCTTCTTGATTACATAGGATTTTCCTCCCTCCCCCTCTTCCTAATTTAACTTTTCCCTCTGGAGTTCAGGCAGCATTTTCTCTGTAGGGCCTTTGTCATCCAGTGACTGAGAAGAGAACTTACTGTATTTGTGTTAAGAGCTATGAGCATGAATCTTGGATAGTTAATAGCTATATAGTTTTTGTTGGTTTGTTTTTTAATGCGAGCCTGGGCGCTTGAACTCTGGGCCTAGGCGCTGTCCCTGAGCTTTTGTGCTCAAGGCTAGCTCTATACTACTTGAACCACACAACTCCACTTCTGGCTTTTTTTGGTAGTTAATCCGAGATGAGAGTCTGCAGGAGGGGGCCTCAGTGGCTCCTGCCTGTCATCCCAGCTACTCAGGAGGCTGAGACCTGAGGATCGCAGTTCAAGGCCAGCCCAGGCAGGAACATCCCAGAGACTTTTTTTTTGGTCGGTTGTGGGCCTTGAACTCTGGGCCTGTGCACTGTCCCTGAACGCTTCAGCTCAAGGTTAGCGCTCTACCCCTTGAGCCACAGTGCCACTTCTGGTTTGCTGGTGGCTCATTGGAGATCAGAGTCTCATGTACCTGGGCCTGCACCTGTGCCTAGGCTCTGAGTTCAAGTCCCACACCCAAATGCTGTTAAGCCTTGATCCTTAGATCTCAGCTTCCTGAGTAGCCAGGACTACAGGCGTGAGTCACCGGCACCGGCTCTGCTTGAACATGTTAATTGAGCCACAGGCTTTATCCTTGGAGCAGTTCAGCTGCATTGAGTCATCGGGTTCTTCATTTTTCTTCTGCCTCTTTTCCTCTCTGATCATCATCCCCTGTGTTCCATGCTTATTTTTTGACACTTCTTACCCTGCAGTAGTCGGTGTATCGTCAGCAGTCATTCTTTTAGGGGAGAGCATTAGGAAAGCAGAGTTGCCATTTGCCTCGCAACTTCATTTTGCTGCACTACACAGAACCTGAGTTCACTTGCGCAGGGGCTGGGCAGGTGGCTCAGTGGTAGAGCGCTTGCCTTGCATGCATGAGGCCCTGGGTTCGATTCCTCAGCACCCCATAAGCAGAAAAAGCCGGAAGTGGCGCTGTGGTTCAAGTGGTAGAGCGCTTGCCTTGAGCTGAGGAGCTGAGGGACAGCGCCCAGGCCCAGAGTTCAGGCCCCACGACTGACCAAAAAAAAAAAAAAGAAAAAATAGAACCAGCAACATCTAGCTTGCAAGATCCTCTCATTTGATTGTCCCAAGAAGGAGCCTAAGTTGCTCACACCTGCCTGCAATCCCAGCTACTCTGTGATCTAAGGATCGTGGTCAAAGCCAGCTCGGGCAGGAAAGTCCATGCGACTCCCCGAAAACCAGAAGTGGCGCTGTGGCTCCAAATGATAGAGTGCTAGGCTCGTGCAAAAGAGCTGAGGGACAGCGCCCAGGCCCCAGGCTCAAGCCCTATGACTGGCAAAAACAAGCAAACACACAAAAAGCACGGTATAGATTGGCAAATGTTACCTTGCACATGCCTAGTGACAATTAACATTCCAACTACTTCTGTCTGTCTTTTAGTCATTGAACGTGGGGCCTGGCGCTGTCGCTGAGCTGCTTTTGCTCAAGGCTAGTGCTCTACCCCCTTGGGCCACAGCGCCACTTCCGGCTTTTTCTGTGTGTGTAGCACTGAGGAATCGAACCCAGGGCCAGCCTGGAGAACATCTTTGGTCCTCCGACTCTGTTGGAGACTGAGCCCAAAGTGCACGTGCCCTGCAAAGCGCTCCTCCTCTGAACCCCGCGATTCTTTTTGTCTGCATAATCCTTCTTTTCCATCGGAACCCGTTGTACAGTTCGAGGGTGATGAGGTCTCTGGGCTGCTACCTACCCATTCATCCATCCACCCACCAACCCTTCCATCCTTCCATCTATCCATTCTCCACCCATTCATCTACCCATGCATCCATGCATCCATCTACCTACCTACCCAGTCATCCATCCACCCATCCATTCATCCATCTACCCATCCATCTACCTGTCCATCCATCCATCCATCTACCCACCCAGACATCCATCCACCCATCCACCTACCCACCCCATCCACCCATCCATCTATCCATTCTCCACCCATCCCTCCCCTACCCATCCATCATCCATACACCCCCCCATCCATCTACCCATCTTATCCATCCATCCAGGACCAGCACACACACACACACACACACCATCCATCCATCCATTTTATCTGTGTGTGTGTGCGTGTGCATTCTGTAAACCTCGCTCCCTCCCATGATTCCTGTAGATGTCCACAGCAGTCCTGGCTGTGCGGAGCTGGGAGGCGCTTGTTTAGCTGAGTGAACGCTGGAGCTCAGCACGCCTGCGCGTGCGTCCCTGTGCGATGCCATCCCCGGGCCCCTGGGCGGGCTGTCCGTCTGTCCGTCCGTCCATCTGTCTGTCTGTCTCTGACTCCGGGCGCTTTTCCGCGAGCCACGCCTGCGCTCGCTCGCGCTTCCTGCGCGCAGCTGTCCCTGGGTGACCCTCGCTTGCTCTTTTATGTCTTGCTCCTAGTTCAGGTTCTTTGTTTTTGCCCGTCTTGGGGCTTGAACTTAAGGCCTGGGCGCTCAAGGCGGACGCTCTACCTCTTTGAGCCACAGCGCCACTTCCGGTTTTCCCGTGGTTCATGGGAGATCAGCGGTCTCGTGGGCACGTTCCTGCCCGGGCTGGCCTTGACCCGCGAGCCTCCGATCCCAGCCTCCTGAGTAACTGGGATGACAGGCGGGAGCCACCGGCGCCTGACGTATTTCAGTTTCTTCGTGAGGCTCATCCTAACTGCTCTCCTTCTTATAGTGTATTTAGTTCTTTGCACCAGTACCGGGGGCTTGAACTCAGGACCTGAGTGCTCTCTCTCAACTCTTTCACTTAGAGCTAGACCTCCGCCACTTGAGCCACAGCTCCACTCCTGGCTTTTTTGCTGCTAAATCGGAAATGAGAGTCTCCCTGACTTTCCTGCCTGGGCTGGGTTCGAATCCTGCTCCTCACATCTCAGCCAGGACTACAGGGGTGAGCCGCAGTGCTCGGCTACGTTGTTTTTTTTTTTCTCTTCGGTTTCTTTTCGGTGCTGAGGAGGGAATCCAGAGCCTTGTGTGTGCTGGGCCAGCACTCCCCTGAGCATCTTCTAGAATGTTCCAGCTGATCCCTTCCCGCTGGCCTCCCAAACTTCCTTCCACCACCCTTCATGTCCCCCCTCCTTCGGCTTAGACCCCTCTCCTATGCTAATTGTGTTGATTGCGGTTCTTCTTCCCGAAGTCGCCCTGGCCCTGCACACGCACGCGCTGCAGCTGGGAAAGGACTCTGCACGCAGGCGATGAGCCCCGGTCGCCCAGGACGGCTTCTCGTCCCCGCATATTGCACGTAGTAGGTGGGCTCAATCTTGGTCCCCGCAGTAAAGCACTGTTAAGGACACTGCTAGTCATCTGCGCGAGAACGGCATCATCTTTCTTTCTTTGTTTTTGGGTCAGTGCTGGGTTTGAACTCAGAACCTTGCAGTTTGTCCAGCAAGTGACTTGTCCCTTGAGCTGTGCTGTGAGCTCTACTCTTACTCAAATGTTTCTTTTTTCGTCTCCTGAGTCAGGGTCTCCCTGTGCAGTTCAGCCTGGCCTGCAGATGATCTTCCTGTTCTAGATACCTTGAGTGCATGGATCACGGGCGTGCACCGCCATGCCCGGCGTGCTGGAGGTTGAACCAAAGACCTTGTGTGAGCTCGGCAAGCACTCTTACCTCTGAGCACTACCCCGACCCTAAGGAATTGTGTTTGTGATTGCTTTTTTGTTTTGGTCGGTCCTGGGGCTTGAACTCGGCCTGGGCGCCGTCTCAGCTCTGCAGCTCCAGGCGAGCGTCTCCCACCTGAGCCACAGCGCCACCTTCTGGTTTTCTGGGGGTTCGTTGGCGATGAGTCTCATGGACTTTCCCGGCCAGGCTGGCCTCGAACCACGATCCTCCGATCTCAGCCTCCTGAGGAGCTGGGATGCCAGGCGGGCGCCTGGCTTTTCATTGCTTTTATTTAAACTCTGACGTCTACGTGTATGTACATATATGCAGGTCGATTGACGGATTGGTTGGTTAATTGCTGACTGTCAGGCCGACCGCGTCCAGCAGTCGTGCTGGCGCGCGCCGTGGGGGAGGGGTTGATCAGTCAGCGGGCGGCCCGGGCGCCGCCGAGGCTGAGGCCCGCCCGGTCTCCCGTCCTAGGGCGTCTGACTGGAAGCTGGAGCAGCCCGACTGGACGGGCCGCCTGCGCGTCACCTCCAAGGGGAAGGTTGCCTACATCAAGCTGGAGGACAAGGTGTCAGGTAACGCGCGGCCGGCCGCGCCGCCCACCCGCCCGCCTGTTTCTTTCCCCTTTCCTTGTCGTCGTTGCTGTTGTTTCTGGGTCTGATCTCAGGCCCGCGCTCCCCAGGCGGGCGACGGCCACCCGGGCCACGCCCCTGCCACCCGGGCCACGCCCCTACCACCCGGGCCACGCCCCTGCCACCCGGCCACGCCCCCGGCCCTCCTTGCGATCGTTCTTTTGCGTTCGCCTGCGTTGGTGTTTTGGGTAGAGGCTCGGGCAGCCCCGCTTGTCCCCGAGCCGGGCTCCTCCTGCTTTGGCTGCCTCCAGACCCGCCCTCCAGCGGGCCCCGGGTGGAGGCCGCCCGACGCGCGTCTCTGCCGCAGGCGAGCTGTTCGCGCAGGCGCCGGTGGAGCAGTACCCGGGCATCGCCGTGGAGACCGTGACGGACTCCAGCCGCTACTTCGTCATCCGCATCCAGGATGGCACAGG